TATATATATATATATATATATATATATATATATATATATATATATATACACATATATATACAGGGTGTCTCACACTCTCCTCCGGGCATTTAGTGGGGACGTAAAATGGGTTGATGTGAACATAAAAGTCCTATACCATTTTGCGAAATTCGTAATAATAGTCGAGTAATTAATTGTGAAAAATTAAGGAAAAGCATATGCTGAATAGTAGAGGACGGATCGCTTGAGTCACAGAGCAGCCCAATAATATAGCGCGCGGATGTCGTGCGTGGCGATTAGAAGACAATGCATCACTGTCTATACTTAAGGTGCTATTTCAACCGAGGGATACTAAGGGTTTTGAATGGAGCGATCCTTGATTCACCTTGTAGTAAGGTAATAGTGACTCGATCGGAAGGGTTGAAAACTTTCAAACAAACGGCTGCAGAATATGTGATGTTTGAAACGTTCGAGAATCCGTGGAGCTCATATTTGCAATCTGGCATAAATCCGGACCACCACGGTACCTTCAAGTCGCTCAATTTCGAAATCCCGATACAGATCCGCTGCCATCGACTGAAAATATCGTCGGCAACAGGAAATACCGGATTTCCAGAGTGTCTGCATAAGAACTTTGGCCATGAGAATAACAGGAGTTACCCATCCTATGGGGTCATACAAGCGCGCGATTACTGCGAGAATGGAACGCTTCGTCCGAGGGAGATTGTTCGACATTGAAACGCGAGCTTGAAAGGTGTCGAGCTCAGGGTTCCAATCGATATCGAGAACTTTCAGATTGTCGGAGCTAGACAATGATTTACTGCAAGCGATACTGTGATCGATTGTATCAATATCCAAAAGTAGCGCGGCTGAATTGCTAACCCATTTGAGTAATTTGAAACCACCGCGATGTAAGAGCGCAGTTAATTGATCGCGCGTGTCGTGGAGAACCTGCTCGTCGTCATGCCTGAACAACATGTCGTCGACGTAGCTATGATCCCGTAGGATGAGAACGGCTAATGGAAACTGAGCGCCTTCGTCTTGAGCTAACTGACAAATGACGCGCAACGCCAGAAAAGGCGCACAAGCCATTCCGTACGTGACGGTGAGCAATTGGTATTCAATGACGGAATCGCGAGGATAATTGCGCCATAAAATTCGCTGGTAATCAACATCGCGCGAGTCCATTAGAACTTGCCTATACATTTTAGCTATATCGGCCGAGTACACGAAACGAAACTGCCGCCAACGTAAGATAACGGCGGATAAGTCAGTCTGCAACTTAGGCCCCGTTAAAAGATGATCGTTGAGGCTCGAACCATTTGTCGTAATGCTAGAAGCGTTGAAAACTACGCGCAGATGCGTGGTGAGACTGGAATCGCGAAAGACGGGATGGTGAGGGAGATACATGCACTGATTCAAAGCCTCCCCGGGAGGAGACACTTTGTGCAAATGGTCGAGATGCTCATATTCCTCGATGAAAGCGCGATATTCCAAACTATCAGGACCGACAAAACAGAGCGTTCAACATTTGCTCGGCTCGAACCCGAGACCTACTGATGTCGATTGGAGGACCGCGCCGAAACGGCAAACGAACGATATACCGCCCGGAAGCGGTGCGAGAATGAGTGGACTAAAAATGAGTCTCACATCTCTCTTCTTTGGGAATGACTATCACGCGAGAGGGAAAGCCCTGAATCTTCCAGAATCGCTTGATTTCCTCCTCCAATGAGGGGGAGTCGATACAATGATGAGCGGAGACGCGTCTTGAAAGCTGCCTGTCCCCACGATCAGGAGCGGCAGTGGGTGGATCTAGAGAGGACGAGGGAAGCGGACTTGATATGATCCAAACGAATATAGAATTCTGCGCGACCGGTTCACCGAGTGCACCCTTTCGCACGCCCTCGATAATTATTTCGCCATACAAGTCCGCTCCGATTATAAGATGAATCGATTCTGTGCTCGTCGGATCCGGATCTGCCTAATCTAAGTCTGCCAGATGAGCTAGCGAGGCGATATCCGCTACGCTGTGCGGAGCGTATGACGTCAGTGATCTTTAAATTAAAGCGGTGGTAGCGAGCGTTGGAAAGTTCGCGTGTCGCGATGCGATAGAGATTCGAGCGGCGTACTGAACGGTCCCGGCGTCAAAGTAGCCGACGGCGGATACCGTTGTCGGCATACGCTAACGTTTAATACGTAATAATTGAATAAGGTATTCGGAAATAACATTTCCGAATAACATTTCGGAACCTTGATCTAGCAAGGCTCGAATCTCAACAGCACGACCATTGATCCCAATGACACGAGCGCACGAGATCGCTAAAAGAACACGGTCAGGTTTCGATCCTCTTGGAGAGGCCAACATTGATTGAACTTCGCGTTTAGTTCCGTCGCTCGGATTCGATCGGCTTAAGGAAGAATCCCCCGGCACAAAGAGGTCAGATCGCAAGCTCGTGTGAAGCATGGAATGATGTCGCTCGTGACAGGAGCGACACGAATATTTGCTTATACTTGAACACTCTCGAACTGAGTGATTCTGGCTCAAACAATTGAAGCAACTTCCATGCTTCTTCACGAGCTCGCGACGTTGAACCGGAGTTCCTTTCTCAAAGATTGGACACGATGGAGCTAAAATAATGCCGATATTTAGAAAGCGAACAGAGAGGATTCGCGGACACGGTCGCGACGGTAACCTTGTGAGCCGGCGAACTTTTATTGCCAATTTTGGCTGAGGAGGAACACGACACTTCCTCAAGCGCGCGCGATTGATTGGCTAGAAACTTCTCTAGCTCGAAAAATAACGGAGGATCGTCTTGATCAGCTGTTTTCAATTTCCACGCTTTTCGCGAAACAGCGTCATGCCGCTGCACGACAAGATGGACCAACATGTCGTTTTACAAATTCTCCGGTGAGCGCGACAGCCGATTCAGCGAGACGACAGCAATGTGAACTCGATCCCGAAGCAATTGAAACTCAGTCGCGGATTCACGAGAGACTGCCGGAAGATTTAGTAAAGACGACAAATGCAAATGCAAGAGGCGTCCCTTATTTTCGTAGCGGGCAACTAACGCATGCCACGCGACATCGAAATTAGCAGCCGTCACAGAAAGACTACTGATGCAGTCCAAGGCGCATGTCCTTTAGACACGACGTCAGAAAGTGCATGCAAACACAGTTGTTCAATTCACTATTTTGAATGATTAGCGACGAAAAGCAATCGCGAAAAGCTTCCCACTTATCTAGGTTACCGTTGAACGGCAGCAGACGAATTGGTGGAAGTTGCGAATACTGAGCTCCCTTTTTTAATTGACCAGCTGATCAATTAAAATACGCTGATTGGCTGGATTCAAGCCTCGTCCCCTACTCCCTAACACCATCTACACAAAGGGGGGAGGGGGGCATATAAGGACAACCTTTACCCAAGGGAGCTCAGTATCAGAGTTCTCAGCCCTGATGATGCAAACTGCAACGTTTGCGAAACGTCGGCACATCGCTGATTCAAGACACGGCTCCATTCCGGAAGCTATACCTAGACATTGTATCAATGGCCGTGAAAGCCTCAAATCTAGTATCAGACATCTTGCATATATAAAAATTTAATTTTATTAACAAGTTAGTAATATTTATAAGAAAAGTCGTTCCTTTTTCAGTTACTTTAATTTTTTGTATCGTTATAATGCGTAAATCGTTATAAATACGTAATATGTTTCGTTTGTTGCTAATGCTATGTGATAAAATGTAATGTAATGTTTTATTTAAAATATAGAATTAAAGATATAAAATTTTAAAGACTGAGGATTAAAAGTTTTAGATATAATGAATATAGTTTATTTCAAATATAAATTTATTTTATAACTTTATAATTATACAATATTGTAATAAAGTTATTTCATAAAATATATACCAATATTGAAAAATATTTATATTACATGTAGTATTTTTTATATATGTAATAATATATTACTGTTGTTACTAACCAACTGCAAAAACTTTTTATGCAAAAAATATTAACAGTTCAACATAATTTCTTGCCATGGAATTAAACCTTCATTATTAAAATAATTCATAAAAGTATTACGTATTTTACATGCTTCCCATATATTTGTATTTATACCAATATTATTTATATCTCTGAGTGCTGCCGCTGTAATCTCACAACATACTGTTCCATTTTTATTTGTATCAGTAGTACAGGTACAAAATGAACAATCATTTTCGCGTAGAAAATTATGCAACAATTGTTTTCACTATACTTATGCAAATAAATTATGTAAAACAATTGCTTTCACTATATTTTCTGCTGTTTCAATTGAAGTATTAATCGTCGTTTATAAATTCTTCATTTGGAAATGAGAATTCCAATAGTACATTCTACTATACGACGTATTCTACTGTGTCTATAATTATAAATTTGTTTTTCTCTTGTTAAACCTCCTCTTCCAGAGAATGGCCGCATCATAAACTTTGTAAGCTGAAAAGCTTCATCTGCCACAAAAACATATGGAAGAATAGATCCCTCCGCAACACGATTTGGAAGTTGTATATCTACATCACCTCTTAAAAATGATTGACCCATAACAGATCTCGATCAGATACCTCCGTCACTTTGTCGACCTTCCGCACCAATATCGACCAAAATAAATTTGTAGTTACTATCACAAATAGCCATTAACACTATACTGTGAAAGTTTTTATAATTATAGTACGTAGAACCAGAATTTGGTGGTGCCTAAAATATTTCTTTAAAGTATATTTTTTTCAAAAAATAAATATAACAAGATGATATAAAAGTTAATGAAATACTCATAAATTACATAATTTATAAATATTATAAGTTACCTGCACAATGACATTTACCATCCACAGCACCCAAACAATGTGGAAAGTTACATTTTATTTCAAAATTAGCAGCAATATGTTTCCAGTTTTCATATGTAAGTACTTTCAATACAATTGGCATTAAAGTATTCCATAATACATTGCAAGTTTCTGCAATAATATTTGATATTGTTGATTGTGCAATATAATATTGGTACTTCATTGCTATCATTGAATCACCACATGCTAAATATCTATAAAATAATGTAATCAATATAAGTATGTATATAAATATAGTTTCTATAATAATCTTGTCAATATATTATAAAAAATAAACCATCAAGTTACGTACAAACAAACATATCACTCTTATTTTTTTAATCTCACTCTTATTTTTTTAATCTCACTTCTTAATACTTATTAAGATAATTTTTTAAAACGTTTTTTACTCAGTAGTGTTAACAACAAACGTTCTTTTGATGAAATTAGTTCTCGACAAACTGGATTCTTTTGAATTTTTGGAGCAATTAGTATAAGTAACTCTTCAAATTGTGTTTTACTCATTTGGCAATAATTCATAAATAAATTATTATCTTTCACCATTATAGGAAATGTAACATAATATGCACCTTTTTTATATTTTTCTTTTAAAAAATTGTTTATCCAGAATCTCTTCTTCTTATATTTCTTTTTTTACAACGTTTCTATTACTTAATATTATTGCTGTTATTAATAATGTTTTTCGTATTACTTGTTGTGCTATTGTTTCAAAAATTTGTCCCATATTTTATAAATATAGCATGCAAGCACATATGATATAACCTTCACTGGACTCAACTTTTGCAGGTTTTTATATTTCATATCGTACGATAAATGTGACTGCACGGACAGCCGCATGCGCAGTAACAGCCAATCGGCACGTCCGACAATACTTGTCGTACGACATGTGAAATAGCACCCTTAAGCCCATTCTACAATTGCGTAAGCATAGTCATGAACGTAAGAGTCAACCAATCCGAATGTTTTATTCACTGATTGCTTTACTCTGATTGGTTGTCGTAATCACTTACAACCACTTACATCCACGTTCACGCAATTGTAGAATGGGTTTTATACCGCTGTGCTCCTACATCTCGCCTCGACGTGGTGTGGCAAGATGTAGGAGCGCAGCGGTATAAAGCCTATTCTACAATTGCGTGAACGCGGTTGTAAGTAGTTGTAAGTGATTACGACAACCAATCAGAGTAAAGCAATCAGTGAATAAAACATTCGGATTGGTTGACTCTTACGTTCACGACTACGCAATTGTAGAGTGGGCTTAAGAATAGGCAGTGGTGCGTTGTTTTCCAATCGCCACACACGACATCCGCGTACTATATTATTGGGCTGCGCTGTGACTCAAGCGGTCCGTCCTCTACCATTCAACACACT